GTAACCTAGAGATTGAAGCATATGAAAAGGTGTATATAAGCTCTCTGCAGATACTAGAGCATTTTATGTACAATGTGAGACTGACCATCAACAGATTTTGGTATGTTGTGGAATCAGTGTCCTGGGATGTTGATATGTCCTGGAATCAATGCCTCTTGGGTACTGAGAGATGGCTGAATTCCCATATGCCTGTGGGGACTAGGTCCTCTTCCCTAAGTAGTTCCCCAGCCTGTTCCTGGCTGTAGTCATGCCATGTGGTTCTTGCTGCCACTCCGGCCCTCTCCCGAGACTGCATCTTTCACACCCCTCTGCAGTGCCAGAGCCTGGCAATTCTTCTTTTATCCTTGCAATTTTTTTTTCTGTTCAACTTCTGAGGGTGCTGGCTCCTCATAGCCTTTCTGTGTATCTTCAGTCCTCTACCATCTTTGTGGCCTCAGCTATGCGAGCCGGAAGCCAGGGTCTCATCCCGTAGTCTCCTTCCTAAGGCTCCACATCACTAACGCCAGCCCTCACTAAGCCTGTCTAAGCTTACTAATCACCCGTTAGTCCCTTGACTTAATTCGAGATCTAATTATTTTGGGTGTTATGTTCCTGCAACAGTGTCGCCGTCTCCATTTGTTCATGAAAACATTCCTTAGGGACGGAGAGGTCCCTGGGTGGTCGAGCACTTGTTGATCTTGCAGCAGATCCAGATTCAGTTCTCAGCACACACCTGGTGGCTCCTAACCACCTGTAGCTCTAGCTCCAGGGGTCTGACAGCCTCCTGACCGCTGAGGACACAAGGCACACATGCAGGCAGGACGCGCATACATGTAAGATAAAAGTAAACGAGCAAATGCTAGATGTCGAGAGGACAGTGATGAGCAGACTCTCGTGCTCTTAGAAACGACAGTGGGGCCGGGCGTTGGTGGCGCACGCCTTTAATCCCAACACTCGGGAGGCAGAGGCAGGCGGATCTCTGTGAGTTCGAGGCCAGCCCGGTCTACAGAGCGAGTGCCAGGACAGCCTCCAAAACTACACAGAGAAACCCTGTCTCGAAAAACCAAAAAAAAAAAAAAAAAAAAAAAAAAAGAAACGACAGTGGGGAGCGTAGAGGGCTTGGGAACATGAAGCAGGGAGGGCAGAGGGGTTGGGAAAGCTTTACAGGGGAGGAAGCGCCTAGGACTGCAGTGATTAGAGTCTACTAGGGGGCATTACAGGGGAGGGGAAGGTATACTATTCCAAACAGAGTTCTAGAAAAAGCCCACGGTTGGGAATATGTGGAGTTGCTGTCTCAAGGGCCTGAGAACCAACGTGGTGGAAATTGTGGGTTTTTTTTTTAAGATTTATTTACTTATTACACATACAGTGTTCTGCCTGTATGCCAGAAGAGGACACCGGATTGAATTGTAGATGGTTGTGAGCCACCATGTGGTTGCTGGGAATTGAACTCAGGACCCCTGGAAGAGCAGTCAGTGCTCTTAACCTCTGATCCATCTCGCCAGCCCGGAAATTGTGGTTTTTAAGGAAGTGGGTAGAGGTGAGCTTTGATAGTTGAGTTGCAGTTGGAGCATTTAATGGAAGTCTTCATAGGGAAAAGGGCTACATGGAGCCTCTAAAATATTTTAGCAGGAGCATGATACTGTGTAGAATCCCACCTTACTAAGGTCTTGGGCCCAGTGTGGAGAATGGATGGGTGGGTTTGAGAGTAGGTCTGGAGGGAGAACAATCAGGATGTTGCAGAAGTGCTGGCAAGGAGACAGTGGCTTGTAATGGACTATCAGGAGAGGGACAGAGGGGAGGAGACAGATTCCAGGGAGCCCTGGAGGAAAATTGGCAAACTTGTGTGGGCCAGACCAGGAGTAGAAATGATGACGGTTGAGGATGGGGTTTTTGTCCTAGTTTGCTTTTCTGCTATGATTAGAGACCAAAGAGCAACACTGCCTATTTCCCAAACTCATGGTCAGCTCTCTTATACAGTGTAGGCTCACTTGCCCAGGGATGGCACCACCTACAGTAGGTTGGACTCTTCTACATCAACCAGCATCAAGAAAATGCTCCACAGACATAGGGCAATCTGATCTATGTAATTCCTCGATTGAGGGTCCCTCTTCCTTGGTGACTCTAGATTTCTGTCAGATCGATAGCCGAAGCAACCATGATAGGTGCACAAACTAGACTTCCAAACCATTGTGGGCCCAGGAGCAGCAGGTGTCGGGTCCCTCACAGACCAAGAGTCTGAGGTGCCTGCAGGGATCTAAGTGGAGCTGTAGGACTCAGGCAGATGGGGTAGAAAATGAAGTCATAGTTGGTGATGTCCAAAGGATGTTACAAAGGATTGGTATCCATACTGTTTAAATGTTCTATAAACATGAAGAACAGAACAACTCAGTGAGAAAAAGGACAAAAATTATGGGTCGATGTGCCTAAATACCGACAAAATGAAACACATGTCTGTAAATCCAGAGCTTAGGAAACAAAGATAAGAGAGACAGTAGTTCAGGGCCAATCTTGAGAGCTACATAGTGAGTTTGAGGCCAGCCTGGACTAAATGAAACCCTATATCAAGCAAAACCAAAAAAATAACAGGGCAAATTGTCTTATCTTCACTTTACCTTACAGTATGGATGGAAATAACAAATTATGCCATAACAAAACATGTCATAGCCAGCAAACAGAATAATTTCAGCCAGGCCTGGGTGATACCTCCTTGTGATCCCTCCTCCACTTGGGAGCCTGAGGCCGGGGCTTTGTGAGTTGTCTGTTTTTCCCAGAGTACTCAGCTCTGTTTGCTCTCAGCAGCAGCATCTGAGTGCCTCTCGCTCCCGTCTTCCCTGCATCGCCGTTTTGTTTTTGTACTGGCGAGGATCAAAGCCAGGGCTTGGAGCTACACTCCAGCACACTGTCAAAACTGTTTTGCTTTTTTATTGCTGCTGTTTCATTAGTGTGTGCATGACGTGGGGGTATGGGTGCAGGCGTGCTATGGCCCTCGTGGAAATCAGGTGACAGGTTTGTGTTGTCTCCTTCCATCTTTCTGTGGCTTAAGAGATCAGACTAAGGTTGCCAGGTTTGCACAGCCCACACCTTTTCCCACTGAGGTGTCTCAACACCTCCATCCCTGGTTTTCCTTGTGTTTTGGAGACAGGCTTTTGAGTAGCCCTGTCTGACTTTGAACTCCGTATCCTCCTGCCTCTCTATCTCTGGAGTGCTGAGATTCCAAGATTCCAGGCATGAGCCATTTATTTATGCCTGGTTCCAGCCCGGGGTTTTGTGAAAGCCAGGCAAACACCCTACCAACTCAGCCATGGTGCTGGCTCCCTGCATTTCAGCTCTTGAGGCAGAGTATTCCTATGTAGTTTAGCCTCCTGGTCTGTAACTTTAAAAAAATAGTTTGTTTGCTTTTATTCCATTTGCATTGCTATTTTGCCTGGTGTATGTCTGTGTGAGGGTGTTAGAGCTAGAAAAAGTTGTTAGCTGCCATGTGGGTGCTGGAGTTGAACCTGAAGAGCAGTCAGTACTCTTAACTACTAAGTCATCTCTCCAGCCCTTTGCTTTTTTTAATTTATTATTTTTGCTAGGCATGGTGGCCCACACCTCCTGCACTTAGGAGGCAGAGGCAGGCAGATCTCTGTGAGTTTGAGGCCAGCCTGGTCTACAGAGCCAGTTCCAGTACAGGCTCTGAAGCTACACAGAAACTCTGTCATGAAGAACAAAAAAGAAAAGAAGGCCATAGCTCAAGGCTGGCCTTGATCCTTAGCAAGGGCCTTTATCCACTAAGCCACCTTGCCAGTCCTGGCCTGGAATTCTTTAAGTATCCCAGGTTGGCCTTGAACTCACAACTCCTCCTGTCTCAGTTCAAGTGCTGTAGATACAGGCAAGAGACACTACAAACTGACTTTTTCTTCAACTGGATAGAAAGGCCATGGGTTTGTGGTAGTAAAGCTTGAACCCAGGGCCTCACACCTGCCAGGCAAGTGTTCTACCTCTGGGTATGTCCATAGCCCTTACTTTACTGTTTACATTTGTCTGGGAACATGCCTGGCTGGTAGAGTACATGAATAGAGCCCTGGGTTCCTTCCGCAGCCGGCCAGAAGCAGGGTGTGATAACACACCTGCAACCCTGCCTCTGGAGGTGGAAGCGGGAAGATCAGAAGTTCAAGGCCAATCTGGGTTCTGTGATGAAACCCTGTGGGGGCGGGCAAAAATCTGGTATTACTCTGCAGGTAAAGATCTGAACTAGATTTCTAGGACCCACATGTGGGAAGGAGAGAACCTGTTCGCTTCCCGTTGTCTCCTGACTTCCACATGTATTCAGTTCGATGTGTGAGCATGCACATACACAGTATTTTAAGAAGTCTTCAGATTTCTGTGAGTTCGAGACCAACCTGGTTTACAAGAGCTAGTTCCAGGACAGCCTCCAGAGCCATAGAGAAACCCTGTCTTGAACCCCCCCCCCCCACCCAAAAAAAGCCTTTTTGCAGTTTTGGACTTTATTTATTTTTGCATTGCCGGGGGATCAAACTCAGGGGCTTGCAAATGGCAGGCAATCAACTTTGCCACTGAGCTAAATCCCTAAGGCCTGATAATCTTTTTAAAGGGTAAAACCTGTTTGGTTCTTTGTCTCTAGACTAGTGTTTAAAAGAACTGCGGCTGGGTGGTGGTTGTACACACCTTTAATCCCAGCTCTTGGGAGGCAGGCAGATGGATCTCTGAGTTCGAGGCCAGCCTGATCTACAGGGAGAGTTCCTGGACAGCCAGGGTTACACAAAGAAACCCTGTCTTGAAAAAACAAAAAACAAAACAAAAGATTGAGTGTCTACTGCATTTGGCCTGAGCCTGATATTAGAGCCTGAGTTAAATGTTTGAGCAGTGACAATTCTGTTGTTTATGCCCAGTCTGCTTTCTTCTCCCTGGTCTGTCTCCCACTGTGTCATAACACCCTGGCAGGGTGCGGGGTAGGGGGCAAGTTTTCACCTGCTGTCCCCTGCCAGTGACCCCAGCATTCCCACATCTCTGTCCAGGTTCCTGTCCTTCGAATGGTGGAGGGAGACACCATCTATGACTACTGCTGGTATTCTCTGATGTCCTCCAGCCAGCCAGACACCTCCTAGTAAGTGATAAGCAATGTCTTTCACTGTGCCCTTCATCATGTGTTCCCCATCGTCTCCTCACCCAGCCCCCACACTCGCTCTCGAGGAGGCAGGGAGAGGGTGCTCAGTGTGCCCTTCTGATGGAAGCTTCGTGGGCCGGGCACTTGGCTTCCTTCCCTTCCTTTGACAGTCCGTGCCAGGCCTCAGCGTCCGTGTTTCTCTCAGTGTGGCAAGCAGCAGTCGGGAGAACCCAATTCACATCTGGGATGCATTCACTGGAGAACTCCGGGCTTCCTTTCGCGCTTACAACCACCTGGTACTGACTTCCCCGTCCAGCCCTATGCTCACTGGCCAAGCCCTCCTTTTTGGAAGACCGCTGAAGCTTTGCAGGCCTGTTTCCAGCCTTCTCCTGCCCCTAGGACGAATTGACAGCGGCTCACTCACTCTGCTTCTCCCCGGATGGTTCCCAGCTCTTCTGTGGCTTCAACCGGACTGTGCGTGTCTTTTCCACTTCCAGGCCTGGTAGAGACTGCGAGGTGCGAGCCACGTTTGGTAAGCCTGTGGGGGAGGACGTGAGAGAGCAGCACCTGCGAAGGGGCCTGGTGTGAGCTGGGCCACCTGTGGGTTTCTCAGCATCCTCAGTACAAGCCTGGGCGGCCTGTGCCAGCCCCAGAAGAGACCCCGGCTCAGCATGGAGGAAACTCCCAAGGCCAACCAGTTGACTAGAAAGCTGGGCTAACTCCTAACCCATCATCCATGCCTGTCAAATGTGTGCTTTGTGGTCTCTCAGAACCTTGCTAATAGCTGGAAATTGTTTTTATTTTACTCTTTCTTGCAGTGCCTGGGATTGAACCCAAGATCTTGTTAGGCAAGCACTGTACCACTGAACTTTATAAAATTGAAGGGGAAGGGTTCTTTAAGAGAAGTGAACGATCTGGGAAGTATCAGAGAACTTGAGATTGCTTGTGACAAACAGTGGGGGATTGAGTCCCTGCGTGTCAGTACGAGGGCAGGGTACCGAGGAACGGGGCTAGTTACTGCCCCACGCTAATTGCTCTCATGTTTCATTGCCAGCAAAGAAGCAGGGCCAGAGCGGTATCATCTCCTGTATAGCCTTCAGTCCATCCCAGCCCCTCTACGCCTGCGGCTCCTATGGCCGTACCCTAGGCCTGTATGCCTGGGATGATGGTTCTCCTCTCGCCTTGCTGGGAGGCCACCAAGGGGGCATCACCCACCTTTGCTTTCACCCCGATGGCAACCTCTTCTTCTCAGGAGCCCGGAAGGTATTGGTCAAAGCCCAGAGCATGTGGGTGTAAGGGTGGAAACCAAGTTTGGAGGACTTGGGGTACTGAGGTGGAGGCAGGCGTGAGAAAGAATGGGGGACACACTTCAGACCCCTGTACTTGTCTTCAGGATGCCGAACTTCTGTGCTGGGATCTCCGGCAGCCTGGCCACCTCCTGTGGTCTTTGAGTCGGGAAGTGACCACCAATCAGCGCATCTACTTTGATCTGGACCCGTAAGTGGCTGTGCCCCCCCCTCCAGGTTCAAAAGTCTGGCTGCATCCTCGGCCCCTGGATAGGAATGGCTTCTACCCCCAGAGTGATGCCTGTCTACCCACAAGTTTCCTTTCTTTCCCAGGAGTGGGCAGTTCCTAGTGAGTGGCAACACCAACGGAATGGTCTCTGTGTGGGACATCAGTGGCGCTTTCGGTGACAGCAGCAAGCTGGGACCTGTGATGACTTTTCTGCCCCAGAAGGACTGCACCAATGGAGTGAGGTCCTCACTTCACTGAAGGAGCTTGGGGCGGGGGTTGAGGAGGAAGGTGGAGCTTCCAGGTGACATCCTGACCTAGGTGCTGACAGCCTGCTCTCTCCTTCAGCCTTCACCCTAGCTTGCCTCTACTGGCTACTGCTTCCGGCCAGCGCATGTTTCCAGAGCCCACCAACAGTGGAGATGAAGGCGAGCCAGAGGGGGATCTTCCCCTGCTCTCCCTATGCCACGCCCATCCTGAATGGCAGCTTCAGCTCTGGTGGTGTGGAGGGGGACCAGACCCCAGTAGCCCTAATGACCCCCAAGATGAGAAGGGACAAGGAAGGGCAGAGGGCTGTGGGGATGGGTTAATATAAAGATTTTGTATAACACTGGAGTCGTTGTGTCTGTCTGGGGTGGCACGTGACTGGGGGGGCATTAGTAGATTCCTTTGTCCAGCATCTGTGGGGTCTGGCATATTGTTCCCAAAACCAGGGGTTGAGAGGTGGGACCAGGCAGGAGCCAATGAGGTACTGAGCATGGTGTGAAGTCAAGCAGGTGGGGGTGGGGCCTCATGCCATTGACTAGATGGTTGCTAGGCAACTTGGTAAACTGAGGAGCAAACCTGTTTGAAATCTCACTCCTGAGGTGGCTGCATTAGGGGTCAGGGTGAGCTGGCCTGAACAGGGGCGGCAGGAGCTCGGTGGCAGACTGTTGAGTGTGACTGTGTGAGACGAAGCAGACAGTGACAGACAAGTCAGCGCCCATGGCTGCACACCGCGCCGTTTACCTTCCTCCAGCTGCAGAGGGGAAGGGTGCACCCCAGTAGGCAGAGCCAAGGACACGCAGGAAGGAGTACTGGAGAAACAGTTCTTTCTGTTGGTCTCTAGAACGCAGCGCCAGGGCCAGGGGCTTGCCCCCTCCCTCAGCAGCGGTGCTCTGCGTGCTGCTCCATCTGCCCTCTCCCCTCCTCACACACCTTGTCAGACACCCAGATGGGAGTCTTTGAAGAGCTGCTGTCAACGGGGCCTTGCTGGGGACCTCGGTCAAAGGGAAAGGAGCTGCCTGTGGAAGATTGGGCAGGAAGGAGAGGAATGCCGCCCCTGCCGGGAGGTGCTGAAAGCCTTGCTTCTTACACCCAAGAAGGCAGCTCCTCCCTTCCCCCAGGATAATTGGAAACAGCCTTTCCTGTGGAGTGCAGCTTTGGGGTTATAGGTACCCCCTTTTCCTCCCAGTCCCACTTCTTTGCATGATGTAAGAAGGGTCAAAATTTACTCCCTAGTCCCCACCTAATCCACAGAAAACAGCAAAGGGGCAGAGAAGCTGTGACAAAAGGGACCCCACGAAAGGGGAGTTCAGCCCCCTAGGTTGTATTTCCGCCTTCTCCTAAACTCCCCGTGTGACCTTGGGCAAGTCACGGGGTCCTCTCTCAACCGGGGTAGCTCTGCCCCCTCCCACTTCGCACAGGTAGATCTTCAACTTAGCCACACTCTCGTGAAGTGCCTCACCTTCAAGGTTGTCATTGCCCTCTCCGGGCAGCGGTGTTGTTTTGGGAGGGAAGAGGAGCAGGCTGCGGGAGCAAAGGGGGAAGGTTTTTCGGGGCGGATAGGGCAAGAGCCTTTCTAGATGCTAGCGAGGAAGATTCCAACCGCACGGGCAGTCGGAGGGCAGGAAGGAAGGCAGGCAAGCAGAAACTCAGCCAGAGACGGACACTGCGAGAGACAAAGGGGGCGTGAGAGACAGCGCCGGGCAGCGAGGCGGGGTGGCGGACGGGAGGTGCGCGAGGTGAGGGAGGTGTGGGGGGCGTGGGCCGCGGGATGCGACGCCCGCTCCGACTGAGCTCCAGCTCCGGTTTTTCCCTCCACCATGCTCTCCCCCTCCCCGCCTCTCCTTTAACTCCCCCCTCCTGGGCTCGGGACTGGTTTCCTCCCTTAGCCTGCTGCCCTCAATCCCAGCGAGGCTGGGGCTCCGGCTCGGTGTCCCCTTCCTCGCTGCCATACCCGGCGCCCCATGCTGCCCCCGCCCGGTCCTCGGCTCCCCATGTCCCCCACGTAGCCGGGCGCACAAACCCCGGGGTGCTGGCGCGTGGGTCGGGGGCGCGTAGGGTGCCTGCAGACGGCCCCTGCAAGGGTTCTTGTGGCACTGAGCGCTCTGGAGCCGGGGAGCAGGCACAGCAGAAAAAAGGGTCCTTGTGGGAGCTGGGGGTGACTAGCCACCCACCAGGGTGACTGGGGCTCCACAGCGTGGTAGCCACCCCTGGGGGGTGAGAGACTTTGGGGGAGTTGGTGCCCCGCCCCCAGGCCTTGGTAGGGTCATGGGGACCCCCTATTTTGGGCCAGGGGGTGTGCAAATCGTGGCCCTACTGCTGCTAGGTTTTGCGGGGCTGGTGTCTGGACTCAGCCTGGAGCCTGTATACTGGAACTCGGCGAATAAGAGGTGAGTGGCCTGGGACTGGGGAGACTCCAGTCCCGTGGGTAAGGGATATGGAAGCTTTGAGACTTCAGGGTTTGGATTCTGGGCTGGGAGGAGGCTAGCAAAGGGTGCTGTAGCAGGATGAGGTGACAGGTTACAAGACAGCAATGATCTTAGGAGCCAGACTCTGAGTCTCACAGGGCTGGATGTGGGTGGTGATGCCATGTGTCAGGAGTTTGGAGACCTTAAAGGGGCAAAGATAAAAAGTTCACGGGCAGCGAGAGGGCAGTGGAGTGGCTGTTTGGATCTGTAGGAGACCTGTGTCATCTGGGTTGAAGGGAGCCTGGTTCACGTCAGCTCTCAGGAGAGAGGTGCTGACTAGGTAGGTGCTGCTGAAACCCTGAGGGGAAGAGCAGGGCTGCCCAGCTAGCTCCCAGGAGGCACTCGGTGCTGGAGAGCAAAGTGGGCTCAGTTTGGGGGTGAGGAACAGCTCACCATCCCAACTTGTGTTAACAGCCAGAGGACTAGTGAACCAGCCAGAGGACTAGTGAACCAGCCAGAGGACTAGTGAACCAGCCAGAGGACTAGTGAACCTTTGGCTGAACAGTTGTCAGCTAGAATGTGTATTTCTGTCCTCCTGGTCTGACAGATTCTTTCCAAAGTGAGCCTTCTGCCCCTCCAAGCCTCCCTCCTTTCCTCTTGCCACTGGAGTCCTGAGGATACCATTGCCCTCTCCTGTTCTCTTGGCTGCAAACTCTCCCATCAGGGACTCTTCCCTGGCATGCTTGCTTTGGGTTGAAGAGTCCAGGGGTCAGTCACACAGGGCAGACAGAACCTATGGGAGGTCATCTAAGTGATTTGCCTCCATGGCATTTTCTATTACCATCAGCGCAAGAGTTGTATATTTCAGAAACTTGCTGCTTCCCTGGGGAGGCTGAGAAGTCATGGGAGGGAATGGACTTCGGAGTTCACCAGATGCTTGGTTTTATCCTAGCTCTGCTGTTTGCAACTGTGTAGCCTTAGCCATGTTACTTAACCTCTCTGAGTCTGTATCTTCAGTCCTTACAGCTGTTTGAGGATTGGAGGCAAGGTATTTGGACGTATTATATGCTCATGAAAGGAGAGGTAGGATTGTTTTTGTGTTTTTTGCTTTCTGGCCTCCCTGCCCTGTCCCAATCCTGGAACCCCTTCCTCCAGTGTCTTGGTGTGGATAGTCTCAGGCTCTCCCAGCTGCCAGCAGCGCCTGGCTGCAGTTTTGAGTAGCAGGTGTAGCTTGAGGGTATAAATTGGGCTATCCTGATAGTGTTGAGAAAAGGCATGTGTTGGGCGGGAGCCGGTCATTTGGAGTCTGGAAAGATGCTGGGCAGTAGTCTCCTGGGACTCAGTTTGTCCTATGGATGCACAGGTAGGACTTGCAGTGGCAGGCAAGATGTGCCTGTGCTGGGCCCATGAGTTCCCTGACTTCCTGGCCAAGACTATGTGCTGGGTTGTGTCATTTGTGGTTACAGAAGTCAACTACTTCAACTCCAAAGCAGGAGAGCACTCTCTCAGAAAGTTTAAGCCCCAAAGTGGGATGGAAGCAGGAAGGAGAATGATCTGGGTGGTCAGCCCGGCCCCTATACATTGGTTCTCATCAGCCCCATTTTGATCAATGCCAAATTAGCATTTGCTTCATGTCTCATTAACTGGCTAACTTGGAAAACTGGTCCAGATCAACCCTCACCCCCCAACCTCTACCTTACCCCTTTTGCCCTGAAATTCGGTGGTGGCCTGGAGGAGGGGGAGCTTCTACCCCCATGGTTGACTGCCATGGAATAGTGAAATCACCTGGGAGGGGTGGGCTGTGTGGTTCCAGAGAGGCCAGCTCCTTGGTAACTGGCATCCCGTTGCCATGGCAACGGCACCGGTGATGGAGCGGGAGATGGCAGTGTGCATGTGGTGAGGGCGGGCTGAAGAGTGCATTTGGGCACACCAAGGGGCAGGAGACCTCTGAGCCTGGCCTCCTGCTGCTTCTGATGTGAGGTAGCAGAGCCCTTGGTGCCCGCACTTACTGAACGCAGGACTCAAACAAAGGCAATGGGTGGGAGCCGAGAATTGCTGTCCTGGAGGGTTGGAAGTGAGAGAGGGAAAGCTTCGGGCACCACACCCCTGACATTTCCTCCTGGTCTACCTTGTCTTCCCTATAGGTTCCAGGCAGAGGGTGGTTACGTGCTTTACCCTCAGATCGGGGACCGGCTAGATCTACTTTGCCCCCGGGCCCGGCCTCCTGGCCCCCACTCCTCTCCCAGTTATGAGTTCTACAAGCTGTACCTGGTAGGGGGTGCCCAGGGCCGGCGATGTGAGGCACCCCCTGCCCCAAACCTTCTTCTCACATGTGACCGGCCAGACCTGGACCTCCGCTTCACCATCAAGTTCCAGGAATACAGCCCTAATCTCTGGGGCCATGAGTTCCGATCTCACCACGATTACTACATAATTGGTACTGCCAGGCAGAGGGCAGAGGCAATAGAGTCCCTGGGATGGAGGGTGAGGAAGGGAGGACCGTTGGAATCCCACCTCTGCACTCAGTAGTGGTCCCCAGGGCTAGGGAACAGAGGAGGGACCAGACCTGGAGTGCTGACTCTCCCTGTGCTCCTTTTCAGCCACGTCAGATGGGACCCGGGAAGGCCTGGAGAGCTTGCAGGGAGGCGTGTGCCTCACTAGAGGCATGAAGGTGCTTCTGCGAGTGGGACAAAGTGAGTGGGGGCTGGGGACTTGGGGACACCTGTGACGAGCTGAGGGAGGTTTGGGTAGCGCATGCAAGTCAGGGGACATTATCTCAGCCCCCTCTTTTGTGTCTTCCCTATCTTCAGGTCCCCGAGGAGGAGCTGC